TAGGTCATTCAAGTGCGAAGAAAAGACGTGAGCAAAAGAGTAATGAGCAAACAAAAGAAGGAGGAGAGATATAAGGATGATCATGATTGATTAACCATTGATCAAGACATACGATGTATCAACGAAAGAAGTAGAAAAACATGAACACTCATTGCCACTTGGTAAACAAAGCAACACGAAAAACAGAAAGAACAACTCATACAGAGGGGAACAATTCCAACAAGACAAGACCACAGAAAGGAAAGTGTCCCGTTTAAATGGCTGCTAGTTTTGTTGGTTCTAGTAAGAGTTCTACAGCACTTGCAACACAATATGATAATAAAAGTGCTGAAGATTAGAGGTGTTACTAGGGAGTAACATACAAAGAAAAGAAGGAGAGATAAAGATGATAGATGTTTGATAGGAAAAAAGGGGCTGACCACACCAGTAGATAGCTGCGCGCATTCATTGAGATTTAAATTTTGCATATTAAACCAACCTGGAGACCAGTTCTTCATGGCATACGCATAGTAGTGAAAGTCATTTGCACAAATGTTTATAGTGTACCACAGGTGAGTATCTATCACATAGTAGTCAAGTGAATAATGGATACAATCCAAAGAATCCCTTTAACTGACTTGGCATAACATCGTCAGCGTCATTCAACAATCAACGAGGTCAAATTTTGGAGGTTTCCAGATTAAGCCATTGTTCAAATGATCTCATCAAGAGATATCTTACAATACGCTTTTGTTCTGCTTCTTTGTTTCCTTCCCAGTTTTTAGCCCAAGACATGGTTCTAGTTAGGAACTTACTTTTTCTCGGACTTTTTCAAACCTAAAAAAAATGACCTAAAAGCGATTGTGGACTGACACTTACAATACATGTAATATGGTTTTTGTGCCTGAAGAAAGGTTCTAGTTGTCTAAAATTTTGGATATGGGCATAAAGACATAAATTCTTGTAGCAAATTCAATGCTGAACACGCTAATATTCACATTTTTCAAATATCTTGAGTATTTTTAAATATACGCTACATTTTGAAAAGAAAATTATTTACACTTAAAATATTATAAAATCCTTTCAATATGTAATTAAAAAATAGTAGTAAAACATGTGTTTTTTGATAGAACTAAATTTTTGACAAGGTACAAGTTTTTTGGCCTTTTCGCCCCGTTGCTCAAAAAATCCCCAACTCTTGAAGGCAACAAAGGATGAAAAAGCAAAAAAAGTTAAAAACTCAAAAATATGCTTTGCCGACAACTGGTACCTTCCTCCAGGCACACACACACAAACACACACACACATGACAGAAAAAAACCACTTACATTGCAGTTGGTTCGGATCCTCATCCTCGTCCCCGGGGCGATGGAGTCCCTGGTCGTCGCGACCGTCCATCACGATGTCCAGAAGGCTGTCGTCATCCGTGCTGCTGGCAGTCGCAGGTCCGGGCCGGTCGCCGTGCCTCTGGCCCGACACCGTTCTGGGTAGTTCGGAACAACAGAAAGAACGACACAAGATTTAAACCAAAAAAATTTTATTAAGACTTTTATGGCACTTGCGACACAAAAAGGTTATATAGGTAAGTGTCGAAGAACACATGAGTTACAAGAGAGTAACATACACAAATAACAAAGAAAGTGTAGCATTGGAATCCAAAGGGTAAGAGAGCAAAGGGAAGACCACGTGGAACTTGGAGAAGAATCACAGAAATCGAGGTACAGAAAAGTGGGAAGACATGGAATTTAATAATAATATCAAAAGGCTAGCCCAGGATAGAGAAAGGTGGAAAGTGTTTGTCCATGGCCTATAGCCTGGTGCAGGGTGAGACAGGCAAATGATGATGATGTGGAAATGGTAAAAATAAACCAAAAAAGAAGGCGAAAGACGAAAGACGTTTGATTAAAACAGGAAAGGAGGAGCAAACCACACCAGAGCACCTGCCAACCACCCACACACAAGATGTTGAGACTTCACAGCAAGTTATCTAGGTCCAGAAATAACCAGTTCAGCAACAACTCTACAGATGTTTCACCAAACATCTAGGTCGTGTAAAAGAAATTAAGAACAGTTTTCAGACTCTATACATGCAAGACTCAGGACCATTCTAAGTGGTTCAGGACAACAGAAAGAACAAAAACAGAAGATTTTTAGACATCACAACAAATTAATTATCTACGTCCAGAAATAATAGTCCCACAATAAGTCTTTTGTTTGTTTTGATATGTGTTTTACGGCCTTCGAAACAGCATAAGTTCACATATGAGAGCGCATCAACAAATCTAAAGACTATTCACCAAACATCCAGGTCATGTACAAAGATATTATTAAACAACAGTTTTTAGCCTATACATCAAATATCTAGGTCCAAAAATACCAGTTCAACAACAAGTCTAAAGACTTTTCACCAAACAACTAGGGCATAAACAAAACTCGAAAATAAAAACCCCATCAACCACCTATAACCACCAAGGTGATCCCCACATCCACCAAAATTATCACACCACCCACCAGTGTACGATATGGCCCATGTTGACAAACACCACAGGAGTAGTTTTATCAAAAGTTATATTTCTAGCACTTGCAGCACAAATATGCCGAAGATTAGAGGTGTTACTACACAGTAATATACACATAAAATAAGGAGGAGAGATAACGACAATAGACAGATGTTCGATAAGAAAGAAGGAGCAAACCACACCAGAGCACCCGCCAACCATCCACCAACCCACTGGCATAGATAACTCTAAAGGTCTTGTCATTAAATTTCTGCACATGGTTGAAAGAAGCATCTGATATAATGATATGTACATTTTGTCAGCTTTACTTTTCTTTTCTTAATGAATTTTAATGAGAATAATATAATACAATTTGATTTTTACTTTATATACCTGCATGTGTTTTTACGGTCCTGTATAGACAAGAAAAATTTCCCTCTCTAGGACAATAAAGTGTTATCTTATCATATCTTATCTTATTGTGCCGTGCCGTACCGTACCGTACCTTATCGTATCGTATCACATCATATCGCATCATATCTTATCTTAACTAATCATATCGCATCATATCTTATATTATCTTGTCTTATCTTATCTTATTTCATCTTAAAACCAAGTGTGAGGAGGCACTGACCTGTAAGCAGGGGGCCGCGGGTCCATGAACTCCACCAGAAGGGCGTCTGTCTCTGTCACGTGAATGTCGTCCATGGTTCACAAGGGTCAAGGGGAAACCACATCCACAGAGTCCAACAATTTTTTTTTAAGTTCACCGGGCAGATGGTAATATATATATTTTATATTATATATGGATGTTATGTAAAACAATCCAAGAGTTTAAATCCAGAGCATTGAGGAGAAATTCACAGGAAAAAGGTTGCACCAATATTGTCCAGAATCCATCAATTTTTAATAATTTTTTTACACGTTCGCCGGTCAAATGGTGGTAGTATATATTGTCGTTATAGTAAGCACCGGTAAATGTTGCAAATTTGTATCAATTAATGATGTGGTATAGGTAGAAGTATAATTCAAGTTGTTTTTTTCAGTTTGTCCAAAGAAGAGATGGGGCCGACAGCAAGCAAGTTGGTCCAAAGTCAATCAGCGTTGTTGTTGTTGTTGATGTTGTTGTCATTCATAGCAGATCAATCAGCAGCAGCCGCCACAGTAAGTGAAATTTGAATTTTATTCGCAAAGAAAATTCATCACCCAGTGGAATCAACGATGACAAGATGACACGATGAGGAAGAGCGTTTTCACACAAGGTGGCGCGCCGTTGTTTAGTTTTAGTAGTGCCGTGTCGTTGATGATGTCATGGATCGCGGAGAAGATGATATGAAAGAATGATGTTGAGGAACAGACACACATACACCAGATCAACGGGAGGTGAGAAGCATGGCGATAGGGGCAACAGGGTGGAGGTTAGGTGGTCACCATGCTTTCTTTCCCCACGCACAGTCCACACAGACAGCAACACTCCAATCACATGCAAATACTTTATCTGAAAGAACAAAACAAAAAAAAAAAAAGAGATGAACCAAACATTTCATTAATTGATCAGTTTCAAAACTTTTGTAAGTTAAAGATCAGATGTTAATTTTCAATAAAACTTATAGATATTCTTTTTTAATATTACACAACTACAATCAGTATTTCTTGATGCAAGTTTTAGTTAAGTTTTCGTAAGAATGTTACTGCACTTGCAAAACAAATACAAGAGCCAAAGATTAGAGGTGCTACTGGAAAGTAACATAGAAAGTAAAGAAGGAGGAGAGATAAGGACGATATAATATGTTTGATAGGAAATAAGGAGAAAACCACACCAGAGCGTCTGCAAACCACAGACCTGAAGGCAAGTTAGTATTTAACTTGTGTAAGCACAATATAAACTTTTAGGGCAGAAAAATGCTCATCGTAATTTGTTTCACAAGTAACCAATGGCTTAAAATGTTACAAAAGTATCTGAAAGCCATGAATAAACTATATTAATTAGATAAGAAGTAAATAATATGACATGAAAGAACGTAGGTAACTCGGAGCTCAGGGTAAAAGGAGTCAGAATTTAACAGCACACTCAAAGCAAGTACGAGCGAGAACGTACTCAGACTCCCTTGTGAATTGTGCCATGATTGTAATACTACATTCTAACAACACGCTGTGTACTATGTGAAATATGTGTGTGTACATGTATAAAGATATATAATAATATCTGTGTGTGTGCTTGTGTGCGTGAGAGAGAGA